GGGGGCAGGGAGGGCAGCTGAGCGGCGACCGGGGGTGGGGCCCACGGGCTGGCTGAGCACCAGCCAGCAAGTGCCCCAGATGCTAGCGCCACACACACGTGTCCACACGCACACACACTGGGTAGGCCCCCGAGACAGCCCCAGCCTCCATGCCTGCGTTTGCACATGGGAGCAGCTGCAGCTCCTGGCCCTGACAAGCTGAAGCCCAGGGCCAGGACCCAGACTACCTCAGCGGAAGAGAAAGGAGAAAGGACCAGGCAGAGGGCCGGGTGCCAGCCCAGGCTAGCGCCACACACACGTGTCCACACGCACACACACTGGGTAGGCCCCCGAGACAGCCCCAGCCTCCATGCCTGCGTTTGCACATGGGAGCAGCTGCAGCTCCTGGCCCTGACAAGCTGAAGCCCAGGGCCAGGACCCAGACTACCTCAGCGGAAGAGAAAGGAGAAAGGACCAGGCAGAGGGCCGGGTGCCAGCCCAGCAGGCTCCAGAACAAGTGGGCGAGGCGGCACCGCAGGCCGGTGCTGGGAACGGGCCAGCCTGAGCGGACTCCCACCGGGCGAGGCGGGTCCGGCGTGTCTTCCTGGTGGCTCTTGTTTTCTCTTCGTGTTTCCCAGGCAGAGCCCTGCAATCGAGCCAGCTGTGGGACAGCCTGGGGCATAGCCCTGCCCCACCCAGGCCTGGCGCTGCCAGCCTCATCTGGCTCCTGAGGCCCCTTGTGCCCTCCCTGGGCTCGGCGCCCACGACGAAGCCTATTCCCCAAGGAAGCCTCCTGTCCCCGTGACCGCGTGACCTCCACACAGGCCAGCAAAGCCTGCTCAGTTCTTCCCACCCTCCCCAAACATGGCTGCTGGACCCGCCTTCTCTCCGAGGGTCACAGACTGACCCCCAGAGACCCCAACACGTGCTGGACTCGAGGCCCCGCACAGGGCCTGCTGCACAGTCGCCATCGCTCACGAAACGGGGCGGTGCTGGGACCACAGCAGCAGAACCACTCAGCCGGAAGGTTCGGGAAAGACGTGGTTCCATCTTTCAAGCAGGACCCGTGATGCCGAGCACAGCCAGAGCTCTCCCACAAGGCAGGCCACCGAGTGGGGCTGGGGACCACAAATCATAGACAGGGCGAGCCCGGAGCGTGACGTCGAGCGCCGGCCAGCTTTGATGCCGACCCCTTGGACGGGTCGGATTCGTGCGGGATCTGAGGGAGTGGGGGTAAACGTGCCGTGGCTGCTTGGGCGCTGAGGGGCGACGATGGCTTCCAGACCTACCCGGGAGCCAGCGCCAGCCCTTCTCCGGGGCGGCGGGCCTGGCTGTCCTAGTCTCTGCCCCAGGCGCTGCCTGGCCTCCGGCGAGGACCGGGAGGCCAGCACCCTGCAGTGATTGCTGGATGTAGGATCACCCATGCCACCAGGGCTGCCACTTCGGCCTACAGAAGCCGGCAAGGTCGTGTCCCCTCGAAAGCCACCCACCAGGCCTCCCCGGTCAGGGTCAGAGCGCTGGAGGTGGCTGGGCAGGGAGAAGATGCAGCAGCTGGCCATAAGGACCCCATCCACGAAGCTCTCGCTGGGACCGGCTCTCCGTAAGGGTGGCTGTGGGGGGACAGAGCAGCGTCTGGGACAGGCCTGGGCCACCATGCGTCCCATGTGAGACCGCAGAAACTACAAGAAAACGAGGGTCTGTTGACCCTGCAGGCCGAGCACTGTCTGAGTCATCATATCCTGAAGGCACCACCCTCTGGGCACGCCACCCGCTCACAGCTCATGGCCAAGACCCCGCAGAGCTGCCCTCACTGCCTGGCCACGATTCCCTGGCCTTCCTGGGAGCTGGCTTCTATTAACAGTGGGAAAACTGAACAGTGTGGGGCTCGCCCCAGGGCAGGGGCTGGGAGAAGAGCCCTGCCAGGGGGCGGGGCGCCTGGGGTCCGTGCCCCGAGAAAGGGCAGACCCCCTCTGCAGCAGAGCCCTCAACCCGGCACTGAGCGGTGGGGTGGCAGCACTGGGGTGGCAGAGTCATGGCCAGCGGCTAATCCAGATTTCTGCAGCGTGGGCTCTGGCAGGCTGCAGCAAAAGCTCGGCATTTATGGCCGCGGAGCCCATGTGAGATGAAGCTACGGCGCTCACAGCCCCAGCCCGCATGGCTGGTCCAGGCACCGGCCTCATGCCATGCTGCCTATCGCCGAGTGCAGACACACAGCCGGCCCCACGTTCCCTGAGGCCTGTCCTAGGCTGCTACAGTGACCGTGAAGGCCTCCTGCTTCTGAATCCACCAAATGAAACTCCAGGGGGGCAGCAGGTGGCGTGGTGGTAAGGACGCTGGACTCACGTGGCCGACCTCAGTTCGAGCCCTGAGCCCAGCGTGTGTGCATGCCTAAAACCCTGAAAGAACAGAGGAGGGACTGAGGCGTGGCCACCCTGCCCCTGGGCGCGTTTTCTCACTTTCCCTCTCACCACCTCTGCGAACACAAAAGCCTAAAAGGAAAAAACTCTCCGAGGGAAGCCCACCTGGGCAAGGGCCTGTACCCCACGAAGATGCCGGTCACCCAGCGCTAACGGCGGGCCCCCGCCCC